ACTTATGATCAAAAGAGCCTAATTAACCACAATCACTGACTATGTCACCTCAGTATTTTAATATACAGCTTAGGGTCAAAAATACAGGGAAGGAAGAAGAAAGACAAAAAGAGGAGTATAAGGATTTGAAACAACTAAAGAGAGAATTTGGTATGTGATGCATCAACTTGGCTACCCATGATCTTTGTGCTGGTACATTCTGGGACTTTGTGCTGTGACTCTCGGCTTACTTGGCCTTTAACCTACCCTTCTCACTACCTGTGGAGAGCCAGCAGCAGAAAGACCAGGCTTCAGACCTACTATAACCTTAGAGAGTTGATACTGTTTCATCAGTAGTTTGAGGAAGAATGAGAGACAGTGAAGAGCTGGAGAAATTAAGAGACTTGCCCAGGATTCCACAACAGGTTTCTAAGAAGGGGGTTTAAATCCCAAGTCTTTACTCTTCATCATCACTAAATGAATGGTCTGAATGTCCATCACTCATGACATACAGCTATGTACTCTAGCTTTCAGATTGTTGATTTAAGATCTCATGGCCTTCCCCAACAAATTTCTAAATCTCTAAAATTTCCTCTACAGTCCTGATACCAAGTCCCATGTGTGGGTTTTCTTCCCACAACCACAATTCAACCTTCCCCCCACCCACTGCCCCCTTGGTTCAGATGCCAGTTGCAAATCCCAGGTTGTTACCTATGCTTCTGACAAACCGTCTACAGATGGGATGTTTCAAAGACGTGCTCCTAGAGTTCAATTAATTTGCTAGAACAGCTCATGGAACATAGAGAAACATTTTACCTACTAGATTGCCAATTTATTATAAAAGGATATAACTTGGTAACAGCCAGATGGAAGAGTTGCATACAGCAAAGTATGGGGAAAGGTGCTTCTTCCATGCCTTCTCCAAGGGAGCCACTCTCCCCAAATCTCCACATGTTCACCAACCTGGGAGCTCTCTGAATCCCATCCTTTTGGATTTTTATGGAGGCTTTATTACATAGGCATGATTGGTTAAATCATTGGCCATTGGTGATTGAACTCAATCTCCAGTCCCCTCCCCTCCCAGGAGATCAAGGGCAGGGTCAGGGCTTGGGGAGTTGGGGGCAGAAAGTTCCAACCCTCTAATCACAGGATTGGCTCCCCTGGCAACCAGCTTCCATCCTTAGGTGACCTAGGGATCTTCCCAAAGTCATTCATTAACATAACAAAACACACCTTCGTGGTTTTCATCACTTAGGAAATTCCAAGGGTTTTAGGAACTCTGTGCCAGGAATGGGGAACAAGACTAAATACATATTTCTTATTATAAATCACAATACCACACTTTCCAAGAATTCATCTAAAACACTGAGAATTGAGAAGTTAACCATTATTTGATCTAGCTTCTCATTCAATATAATAGACTTTCTTTGGTATCCAAGACATGTAATGAAGTGAATCTTGTTTAGGTTAAGCCCAACTCTGTCTCCCTGAATTATCCACCAGTTGGTTTTTGTTCTCTAAAAGAGTAATTTGGCTCATCCTGTGATTGCCTTTCAAGTGCTATTAAATAAAACCCAAGTTTTAATAATAGCTTCTCATTTTTGGTCTTAGGGAGTCACTTCTCACTCTGATTCCCAGTTTCTTTATCTACAAAGTGGCAAGTCCTGCTTTGCTTATGTCATAGGGCTGTTAGGAAAGGGGAAAAAGACAGCAATCATTTATTAAACATCTGCTCCATTCCAGCTTTATACACACTGAGCTAATAATACTCCCAACCCTATAAGGCTGGTGGTATTTCCCATTTGAGCCAGGATGAAGTTGAGACAAAGAAAAATGAAATATTTTGCCCAATTACTACACAGGTAGTAACAGAACCGGGATTTGAATGCAGGTTTGACTGGTGGCAAATCCCTGGGTTTAACCATTTTACTATTTGGCCTGCTGTGAGCTGGTACTTAAGAAAGCACTTAATAAATTTCAATTATTCAAATATTTCAAGTGTTCTTCTTCAGCTTTCTATTCTCTGGGGGAGACATTCTCAATCTTTTCTTTTTAAAGATTTTATTTTTAAGTCATCTGTATACACAATGTGGGGCTCGAATTTACAACCCCAAGATCAAGAGTTGTGTGGTCTACCTACTGAACCAGCCAGGCACCCCTGTTTTTAATTTGATGAGCTATCATTTTCCTATCCCATATCTTTAGATTCCCTATCCTCATGGATTAGCATGTGTTTTTGTTGTTGTTGTTGTTGTTTGTTTGTTTGTTTTTTTGAGAACAAGAGGCAGTACTGACTGCCAGGGACCTAATCAGCATGGACATAAGAAAGCATGTTTTTAACGTTCCATTTAAAATGTAGTAACCAGAATAGGAAGTCAGTCATGTCTTACTGTGGCTAGAGTTGGAAAACCCAGGTTGCACAATGCTTCTCCAGTGTATCACATTCATTTTCTTCTAGTTTCTTCATCCAGATAAACTAAAGCTTTGTTATCATCCTACCCAATAGGCTTCAAGGGTCAGACGTGCTGGAACTTCGGTTTGAAATGAATGAGTCAGTGTCGAATCTGATTCCAGCATCTTTAGAAATGTTCCTAAGGAGGTCATTGAAGTGGGGGTATGGTTACAGGGCCCGTGACCACTTCCCTTGCGAGGAAAACCACCCAAACCTAACTGTATTTTAAGGCCTCTGAGCCCTAAGAAAGAAGATAGTCTGTGTTTAGTGGCGTGGAGGGGGATAGTCTCTTTTATCTACATAGTTGAATTGTAAAATAAAATTTCCAAACGCTGAGGAGCATGAATGGGGCTAGTGTGATCGCAGTGAGCCCCATCTATTTATCCGGGACTTAGTCTCACGTTGGCTAATGGGCCCCTGAGCTAATGTAGTGATAAGATTAAGAAAAAGAGCGGGTGCCTGGGTGGCTCAGTTGGTTAAGCGACTGCCTTCGGCTCAAGTCATGATCCTGGAGTCCCTGGATCGAGTCCCTGGATCGAGTCCCTGGATCGAGTCCTGCATCGGGCTCCCTGCTCGGCAGGGAGTCTGCTTCTCCCTCTGACCCTCCCCCCTCTCATGTGCTCTCTCTCATTTTCTCTCTCTCAAATAAATAAATAAAATCTTAAAAAAAAAAAAAGATTAAGAAAAAGAGCAAAACGCTGTTATTTTTTCAGATGTTGATGCTTTTCAGCTTCTAAATAAGCAGGATGTTGCTAATTTTATTACTTTTTTCTACCTTGTTTTTCCACTTTTGGCCAAAACGAAATGAAAAGATGTTTCCTATTTTGTACAAGAATGATTTTCTCTAGTAACAGTTGTAAGAACAAATTATGTGCAATAACAGCCACCTAATATATTTCTATATTAAAATGTCATCTAAAATGATTTGTTGTGGGTGACATAGGAATAGGGAGACTAAAAACGATGAGTTTTACTGTTGTAAGTGGTTGAACGCTAAAGCAAAGGTAGCTCCTCTGAATAATATCTTAGTTTAAAAGGTGCCTTTCCAGAGAGACCTTTCTTAAGCTCTGCATCTGAAGTAACATGCTGGTCACTCTTGCCATGCTCTTCAAGCTTCCTTTCCTTCATTCATGTTTCTATCACGTATTTCCTGGTTTGTATTTGCTTATTGTCTATCTCTCCTCCTCTGGAGTACAAATTCCAGACCGTGCTCTGCATAGAAACCCCCAAATATAGAACACTGCCCATACTAGGCACACAGTATTTGTTGAATGAATAAATCTATTTTGAAAACGTCAAGTTAACCACTTACTCTAGGCTAGCCACCGGTTTTTGTTTTTGCTGTTGTTCCGTCTGTCGAGTTTATTGTATCTTTTCTTCTTCTCCCTGTAGGTTTATTTATTTGTGGATGTAATTCCAGCCAATCCGATTTACTGTAATATAGTGGAGAGCATTTATCAGACACTTAATAGAGCAGTGTTGGGTGGGAGGTGTATTATAACTAGGTTTTGCTAATACAGTAATAGAGTTTGTGGATTTTTAAAAATGCGAGAGTGGATTTTTTCCCCTTTTAAAAAGTTACATCACTGACTTGTGTTTTCTTGAGTGGGACAGAAAGAGGTGGGCTGCCAGGACTTGTTCCTAACTTTAGGTACCCAAAAGCAAGTCCGTTGAGAAGGAGGACTGAGATCCATTTTCCTAGAAGCAACTTTTGTATCTGCCGTCTGGGGTCGGAGGAGTGAGATCATGTTGGCGCCCTTGTTTCAGCTGAAGACAAACCAAGTGCGGGCCGCACAGAAGACACCATTGGATGCCTGTTAACTCGGTTAGGTTGAAGCATATGGTTCTAGCTGCTGGATGGGTGGCGAACTCAGTGCCAGCTACCCTGAGGGTGCTCAGTAAACATGGGTCATCTTAGCAATAATGCTGGGCCTCCAACCAGACTTGACAGTTTTGTTTTGCGACCTGTATGGGGACAGCAGGAATCACTACTGCAGCTGGGAGGGTTTGGCACAAGATGTTGGGAAAATCATTTCATTTCTTATATTTTGGGGGATGGGAGCTCAAGGGAACAGTGCATTTCCTTGTGCCCTGAGAATCGCATGTCCTTAGAAAACGTTTTGGCCTTGACGTGGTCATGAAATATGTTTTTTTAAGGGAAGAATTTATAGAAAACTCATGTTCATGTTGAATAATTTTAAGATTGATTTGTTATTTATATATTTCTTTCTAGTTGTGGAGTTTTGTTTTGTTTTTTTTTCTTTTTACACTGCAAAAGAAATGGGTTCTGGCTATGAAATCCAAACCCTCACTGGGGACCATAAACTTTACCAAGTCATTTGCCATGACAAAATGGCTTATTAGCCCTACTTAACACAATCCGGGAGTTGGTAAAGATACCTTGATTTGTTCTTGTGAAGGGTTTACTTCTTAAGATAAGTCCAAAATACCTAAAATATTAAGGTGCAAATACTTCAATAGCAAATGTACTTACACATCAGAAATAAAAAACATTTAGGAGACCATAGATTTGCCTGTGGGTTCAATAAAAGAGCTGAAGATATTTTGTTTTATAGTCACACATTTTATTACAAATTTCTTTTATTTTGTACCCAATAGAAAAGCAAGTTTGGAATCTATTTACAAGTACTATACATTTACACATATTATGTACAGTTAATGAATTTAAAGAAAATGGGCAGAGAAACACAATATATACGGAAGAATATGCCACTGTACATGGTTTATTATCATCATGGTCCTTAGTGTTACTGAATCTTTATTGTAGTAATAAATACAGTTCTATATTTACACATCTTATAAAACATCTCATAAATGTATTTTTTTTCAATTCCAAGTTAAAACATCTGATCAAAATAAACATGCTTATATAAAAATAAATCTACCTAGCAGTCTTTTGGTTTAGATGTATTGAAGCTAATGTAGTATAATAGAAGTTACAAATTAATCCTTTGACCTTTAGTATTTAATAATTTTGCTTCTTAAAATACTTAACACATGTATTACATACGGAATAAGCAGAGAAGTCATGTTCCTGACATCAAGTGGGTTGGTCCAGAGACAACACAGCTAAAACCAAGCTAAATAAACAGGATATGTTACAAGTCCCTGTTGAGTCCAAAGTGGGTTCAGACATCATTGCTAGAGCTGCTAGAGATACACATGTGAGAAGTTATTATGCCAGTGGGTTTCATTTATGTCGGTCTGCATTTGATTATTTCCTTAAGATGCACATTAGTTTGAATCAACTGATAAAACCACCTGCAAAAAGTGTGCACTCACTTGAAAACAAACAAGCAAACAAAAAACACCAAAATCCTCCCAGGTTGCTCACCATCTTTTCTAGGTATATCCATTGCCGGCAATGGACTTTTATTCTGAGTGCTGGACAGCAAGGAGTTAACAAGGAATTAAACAAAGCAAACCTCACTTCTACATGATCGCCTTCATGGCATTTTAAGGATTTAAGTTTATTTTCCTTTCAAAATATTTGTAGACAGTTTTATTTCACTGAGGTGGAACCATCTCATGCTGATACACAAATTCTGGCATCTCTAAAAATGATAGGACTATAACTAAGAAGGCCCCACATTATCCATTCAGGAGGGGATTGGTGACCTGGAAGGATCCTTTGTGAGGAAAGGCAAAGGAGGACTAAAACATCCACATGGTCATTAAAATGCAATCCTACTGGTCACAGCCTTTACTTGGTAATGTAGGCCATTTAAAACCCTATTTTCCAAACACCTCTAACCATCTTTTAAGGGCTTTTCTGGTTTAAAACCTCTTTTGTAAGCAAGTAGTTCTGCCCCTCTCCCCAAATAATTAGATTGGTGAGTTTAAAAAGAATTCAGTTGAAATCATGGAGAATCTTTTTTGAACATTGCAAATCTGCTTTTTAAAATCTGGGCATACCTAAACAGTGTGACTGATCTATCTCTTGTATCTGAATGAATTATACAAGCAGCATTTAGACTTATTTTTCACTTTCCAGTATCAACAGGTTTTCCAGCTTTTTCCACGCTGAGAGATATCAAAAACAAAGTTTCCACTTGGCTATTTTTAGTTACTGCTCTGATGTACCCAATCTCATATTTTTGGTTTTTCAATGTTTGCAAACGTTTTCTCCCACAGGTGAATTAGAGACATGGGACAAATGCCACAGATGAAAGGTGACAGCTTTCGGTTACCGGGTAAGCTGGTGGTGACACAGAATTGGAAGGCAGGTCATAGCCGATGCTGGTGCTGGTGAAGGTTACCAAGGCTTGGGTTGAGTCACAGGACTGCTTCTCGACATCATCAGAGTTAATAGACATCAGGCTTGGGTTTCTCGATCTTGTCCAGAAGTGGGTTTGCTTTCCCAGGCTCCCCAGATCTTCCTTAAAATGGGGATTGAAGAGGATGTAGAGAAGGGGATTGAGGCATGCAGGAAGCGGGACAATCACCAGAAGGATAAACTTAATTACTTCGGGACTGATAAAGGTGAGGTTTAGTAAGGAGGAGAAGGACAAGAAAGCCACGGGGCAGTAAAGGATACAGTTGGTGAAGAGCAACAGAGCGATGTGCTTCACCATAGAACAGTCCCACATATTCTCCAGGTCTCCCTTTTCCAAATTGCAGTAGAGCTTGGTGTAGGCAATCGTCATCACCAGGAAGCAAAGGGAGTTGAGCAAGACGAGCGCGACCATGTAGCCTGTGGTGCTGGGATCGCCAAAGGGCAGGGGCAGGCAGAGCGGGGAGGCGCTGAACTCACTGCCCCCCAGCAGTGGAACCGTGGCGATGGTCAAGGCCAGCACCGCACAGAGCAGAATGATCGCTTTCAGACTGGAGAAAGGAGTTTTCCTTTCAAATTTTGCAGAACATTTCACAGAGAACCCACGCTCCAGGGCTGCCAGGGTAAGCAGGAAAACAGATGATTCCGAAGCAAAAATGGACAAAAACCCGACGACCTGACACCCGACGCCCTGCTCCCACCATGCCCCATGCTGTGCAAAGCTGCCAAAAGTGAACGCATCCACACCAGCCAGCACAGCGCTGGAGACCCCCATGAGCATGTTCACTGCTGCTATTAACCCAATCAACAGTTTTATGGAGGAAATGTACAGAGGGGCTCTGAACACTGTTGAGGTCACCAAGGCATTGCAAGTAAGCGCCAAGACGGCTATGGTCCACACTCCAATTCTGATCAGCCAGCTACCAAACAGGTATTCGCAGAGTTTGAAGGGCCCTAGAAGTCCAAGGAAGAAAGAGACTGGGTATCAAACTAAGGTTTACGACCTCTGCCACATTACCTTTTTGTTTCTCTTATTAGGACACCAAGAGAGAGGCCAATAACAGCCAGAATAACACACAGTTCCCTTGTGGCATGCTCTACTTTCTTTAACTACTGTGAAAACACGAATACCAGGTGCTCATGTTTTGAAGCTAAACACAGAGAAATGGAGATGGGGAATTTCAATCACTTGATTAAGGTCCCCCAAATACAGCCAGATCTCCTGGGCTTTTCATTATACTTTTTCCAGAATGCTTCAGAAATGTTCTGGAAGCAGAGAAAGAGAATCCCAGGGAAATACTCCATAATATTAGAAGGGGAAGTATGGGTAGTACGAGAGTGCATTTCATGAAAATTTCATCTTAGGTTTATAATGACATTTGATATTTGAGAGCAAGAGAGCTGTCTTTTTTTTTTTCCCCCAACTGGCCTATCCTGTTCCTGGGAATGGGACAAACACGTGAAGTCAATATACAGTTTTTTACTTGTCTGTATAAATTATTATTTGCTTTAATCAAATAGCTACTTAGGGAAGATGAAATCTTAAAAAATAAGTGATTACATGAAGCAAGACTGCTGTGTACCAGTTCAGGCTAGATTGCTGATATCACTTAAACAATTGCCTATGAGGGGTGTCTGGGTGGCCCAGTTGGTTAAGTGGATTCTTGGTTTTGGCTCAGGTCATGATCTCAGGGTCGTGGGATGGAGCCCCGAGTCATCAACATGACTCGGCAGGGAGTCTGCTTGAGATTCTTTCCCTCCCCATCTGTTCCTCAAGGACCCCCACCTCCCCCCTTCTGCAGCCCATGCACTCTCCCCCACTCCCCGCTCAAGTAAATAATAAATAAATAAATAAATAAATAAAATCTTTTAACAATTGCATATGCTTCTAACTACATGGTTGATTCTTCAGTTTTCATTAATCCGAATCAAGTCTTTCCCAGAAACCTTATCTATGAATGGGGATCAACTCTAGGGAATGGACATTTCTATTTTAAAAGTCCCCATGGGGAGGGATATAAGAGCCGCAGAGGTGGCACAGATTTCGCTTTGAAGTGTCACCAGTATGTCACTGATGGCCTCAGAGTCAGTGGTGGGTATGGTGCTGAGGCGGTGCTGAGACCTTTCTCACCTGGGGAAGGTGAGCATTGTGCCGAATGAAGGGCTTTCAGGTCTTCCTCAAAGTCCAGCAGGAAATCTTCAAGATCACGCTCATCTGCAGGAATGAGAAGCCCTGGAATGATGGGTTCTGTCTCTCTTTCCCGGGGACCACCTCCCAGGACCACATCCTCGAGACATGAAAGGTCACAAAGGGAACTGAAGGCCAGACGTCTCACTCTTCCCTGGGCTCCGGCTTTGGGCCTTTGGATGTTCTACTCGAGCTACTATATGACGTAGTAATTCCAGATGAACTGGGGGCGAGGGAGGGTAACCCCAGGCTCCGGACCATAACAGCTTAGCTCTTTCCTTCTGTCCTTGTTCCCTGCAGCTCATGATGGCCCCAAATTGCACTGACCTAAATTAGAGAGAGGCTGTGGGCCTCTCTGTCTCCACTTTTCCAACGCTTAGATAGCTAGAGTGCAAAGGTTCTGGGCTGTGTTCTCCGAGCACAAGAAGGAGAAGCAGGTATAGTAAGTTTCTATCTTTCCTGGGGAATTCTGCTTAACAAAGGACAAATCAAGTTACTGCTTGGTGCTTAGTTTAGCACCGACTTATGAAATAGGAGTTTTGTGATCTAACATATAGAACAGCTGCCCTTAAACATAAACTCCTTGAAGAACTTTTTCTGGTCCATTGTGTTCCTCCTGGCTCATAGTAGGCGCTCCTAATTTTTTTTTTTCCTGCGTGAATAAATATGATAGAAATTAGCATGGATGAAGCCCAAAGAGCAAAAACTAAAGGAAAAACAAGAGCCAGATCCATGCTGTGGCCTCAAACAAAAAAGCCAAGGGCTAAAATATCAGCTCCTTAAACCGATGTGTGTGCATGAAGAGAAGGTAAGGTGGGAACATGCAGACAGACGGAATCACACTTGCTTGGGAATCAACAAATCATCAGGGCCCAAAGGGAGAGAAGCCAGTCTGTTTAGACACTGTGCAAACTCGCAAGGTTGGCAGGAAAGGAAAGTGGGGGCCGCCTGGGCACCTCCTCATTACCACAGGTGTGGTTTCAGGTGCGTTGCTGCCTGTTTAAGTAAGTTCTTACTTCAAGGAAAGCCAAGTGCTTTACAGACATTATCTCATTTCGCCTTCCTGACAGATACCTCCATGGGGGGCGGGAGGGGAGAAGGTTTGAGAATTAGTTGGATGAGAAGTGGGATTCTTGAGCCCTTCTGCTGACATATGGAGGCATCTAAATGCCTATACTGTCCGCTGCTCTCAGGCCCTAAGAATAAAAATGGATTTTATCTTCTGGGAGGAAACCACTCAGAAACATGTTTTTTTTTTT